GGAACTGAAATTCTTAATGCCAATATTAAAGCATCCGCCCATCCGCCCATCCGCCCATCCGCTAAATTTGCACTTTAATTACTTCCTTGGACCAAGTAAACACATCGAATATAGTTGCTGTCAGCTTGTCACTACGTAGCGGTCGATGACTCTAACAACAGCAGCTGCTGCAGTGGCCATCTTCTTGACGTGCGCGATAAGAGAAAAACGAATTGACGTGGTCAGTGGACACAACGTCGCAACGACATCGAGCGGAAACGGAAACGGCGAATGGTGGAACGGCGTACGACGGCACACACAGCTGTTGGCAAAACGGAAGCGATGAGAAGACAATAGCAAGCAACAGCAACAGTAGCAGCAGCAGCAGCTGTGGAGATGACACAGGCCAAAGCAGCAACAGCAACTAAAGAAGGCACCATTTAAAGCGCCCCGACACTCGCCGCTGTTATTGGGCTACAAGCTGTGGATAGCGAACAGCTGGGCTTTGGGTGAACGCAGCGACAAAATTCGCATGCGCCGCCTGTGCGCATGGCGAACAGTTTCATTTGAACGCCGCAGGCTTGGTTCTCCTATTTAATACGACTGGAAAATCATTAATGAAAATTTTATGGCACACAATATATTGTTCCTCGGTCTTTGTTGTGCGTTTTTTTTTGCTGCAAAATCATTTGTGTCTGTGCGTTGTGTTTGTCTGTGTCTATGCGCATAAACAAAAGCGAGCGAAAAAAAACTGCCAAAAAAAGGATTCACTGAAGTCTCTATGCTCACCTACTCCTCCTCCTCCTTCTCCTGCTGGAAAAAGATGTACGCGAAAAGTTAATTTTTACCTCGCTTCGTCCACCAATTTCCCCACACATTTTGGTTGCCTTTGCTCTTAAATATCATTATTTGCGTATTTTTTTTATTGTAATGTTGTTGCATGCGCAGTTGTTTTTGTAATTAGCGCGACCATAGCCCACGGCAGCCAGTGAAAATGGCAGCCGGCTAAAGCAAGTTACCGTAAAAGTAGAGAGCGGGGAGAGGGGAGCGGGAAGGTGCGCGCTTAAACCTGTATAACAGGATGAATAATTTGCTTTTGCTGTTCTTGTTGTTGTTGTTACTGTTATATTCAACTTAGCGCTGCTCTAATACAGCTTTCGTTGTTGTTCTTGTTGTTCTTGTTGCTGTTGTAGCTGTGCCACACTGTTGGCGGGCGATTCAACGCGCAAGTAATTAATAAACATTATTTGTGTTGTTAATTGTTTGTGTTGATGTTAATTTCGTTACTCGCATTTTGCGCTTTACGCTCATTTTTCCATTTCAACCGGATGCTTTGTTTTTTATTTTTTTTATATATTTTTTTTTGTATCGCTTTTCCATCTCGCCTTTTCACATTCATTGCCATCACATTGCAACTTCTGAATTCCATTTCGAATGCTATTTTCACAACCACTTACATTTGATTTCTCTCTTTTTCTTACTCGTTTGTTTGCTAACAGCTCGTTTACAAAAACAAAAACAAAACAAAAAAGAAATTATAATTAACAAAAGTTGGATGAATGGTGGCAAGTAAGAACTTTCAATAAATGTTTGCCGGAAAACGTCGTCTCGTGGGCAAGAGAGCGGGTCGCGACCAAACGATGTTGAAGGACGTACAAGTATATTCGCCAATTTAAATCTGAAAAGTGCCTTTTATGGAAGCGTTCTGTGAAATTTAAGGTTGATTTACTTGAGTTGTTTACATAATTATAAAGAAGTTGAGTTTAATAATTTCTCGGAAAGACTTCAATATAAGCAAGTGAATTACGCGAGTCACAGTTGAGTGAGAAGAGTGGGAGAAGGAGGTTAGATGTGGGAAATGTGAACTGAAAATTCGAAAAATATGAAAATAAGCTAACATCAAATGACAGATGAAAACCCATATATAAAGTTGTAAATTGGTCAAAAATCACCAGGAAAAATGTCAACTTCTTTTGAATAAAATTGTTTAGGTCCTGTTGCTTAACCGGAAAAATAGTTGAAAACCCCTACAAGTCAATAAAAACAACCTCGCTATAAGCGCACAATTTTCCAACCAGTCACAGAAGACAGGATTAAAAATGAATTACAAAAACGAAGATCGAAAAACGCTGATGACGTAGCAGGCTCTCCGAATTCTGAAACAACCAAAAGAGTTGGTGCTCCAAATTGGAACATAACGGCGTTTAAACAACGATCTTGCCACGATGCTAGATTGTGAAGATGAAAGTCAGGAGGATACATCCGACATTTGCAGCCCCGATGCAATTCACAAAAAGGAATTATTGCACCGCAATAAAAAAAGAAATATAACTGAAAGACCTCTCAACTGGTACAGCGTCAATCGAAAAGAATTTACAATTTTGTCAATTTTCAAGTTTTTCAAGTTTGTCGCCTCAGTTATTTAGTGGCGCAGGTTTGATTTACGACCCGTTAGGAAACAGGCTGTAACCCGAAAAGGCAGCAAAATTACTCTTTCTTAAATACAATTGAAGTACTCAATAAAAGCGTTATCAAAAATTTATAACTTTTCCCTTTTTTATTTACCTATTTAAATCCCCTAATGTACTCAGCAAAATTATTTCTTAAAAATATTTAACATTCGCATTCGCATCCGCGGATGTCTAAAATTCCACATTCCTAATATGTAGATAGAGCAGTTTTATAAAAAACTCATATATGAAAATTTTGTGGCAAGGAATATAAAGCATCGATTGAAATGATTTCCTTACTGTTTTATCTGACTACGGAGTTATATAGAAGAAGCTTGTATCTGAACAGTCAGCGGTATAAAAGATATGAAATTCATTTTTATTATTATTAGTGAGGTAGTCGCTTTGTTTCTCTCATCTCGCCATTTGACATTCATAATAGAAAAAACTCTTTCTGTGAATGCCGAAGTTGCAGGAATAGAGAGCAGGAACGAAATAATTTTAAGTAAATTTGGTAATTCATTATTTTTTTTTTAATGTTGAAATTTTTGGTCTGTGGTTTTATTAATAAACTCAGTATGATCTTTTATTTTAAAGAAATTTTTTTATTTCAATATTTTTACTTCAGGATAAAGCTCATCTATTTAAATATAAATTTTTTCTTGCAAATTACTAAAATATATTAATATTTATAATTAAAGAAATATAGTATTTTGGCATATTATATTTTTTTCCGGCTTGAGGTCAGCGTGTTAATGGAATTAAAACACATGAAAATAGATTATTTCCCAATATATTCCAATCTCCTCCGGAGATGACCTCAAGCCGGCATTAAAAAGGATTATTTGATTACAATCAAAATGGTCGCAGTATCAACAGATACAGGTTTATTTTTTTTCCAACAGTATAAAGTACGTAGTCCGATAAAATAGTACAATACTATATACTATAGTACGGTTGGCAACCCTACCTGTTACCTGAGTGTGAAGTATCTCAAACAAGCACTCCCCTGGGAAAGGTTTAAAATACCGCAGAGCCACTTGCACTTGAAGGAGTCATAATTCAGGCCAAGGTCGATTAAAATATTATTTTCGTGAGCTGACTGTCAGAAAGAAATCAAAATTTAAAATTTACATAGTTCGAAAAAAAAAGAAACGCCATGTAATAAGCGGCCCAGGGTGCTTCTCAATTAATCGGATAGCATGTGCTGCAGCTGGCTACTATAAATAAATTTTTAAAACTTGTCAATATGTGGTGCGCTTATAATTTTGACACGGGGTGTATATTTATATTTTTCGGCTAAAAAAGTCTATCGAATTCTACTTCAAGTCGGCAAGTCTTTGTAATAAAAATTTTAACGCTTTTCATATATCATAAGTAGGACATTGATAATTTTAGTAAAAGGAAAGTAATAATTACACGAAAAAAATGTACGCAAAGGAAATCACAGGCAATTGCAGTTACTTATGCATATGATTAATTATGTTTATATGCATGAATATATGTATGCATCACTGACATACACAAATTCACTACTTGTGTATGAGAGGAAAGCATTTTAATTAAAAATGCTTGAAATACTTGAAAGCTAAAAGTAGGAAATGAGTAAAAAGTGGAAGTGGCAAAGGAGCAAAACAGAAATTCGTCGATGGTTGGAATGAATATCTGCTAGCGACTGCTGATAATAGCAAGTGAGGAGTGAGTGGAAAAATAAAACCAGCGAAAAATGTTAATTAATTGTGGACAAAGACAAACACACACACACACATACATACATCAGTGTGTATACGCGAAATCGGCGTTTATCTTCGGTAAGATGAGATGTTTTTAAATTTAAGACAGATTAATACAAACATGTACATACATATGCACGAATGTAAGCATTTGCATGTATGGTGGTGAGCACGCAATAATTTTTCAGATAAACTCGCACTCATAAGATACTAAATATGTATAATGTATGTAAGTTCATATACGATTAATTATAAAATACTTATATATTTGCATACATACACTCGCCTGAAATTTATAAGAATTTCGCTTGTGCGCAACACCGACACGCACACACATACATACATTAGGGTGGTCCAATTTTTATATGGGGGAAAAAATTTTCTTCTTAGAAAACGGGGCACCCCCTTAGTTTTTTCCGTTTGATATTTGTAACATCTATACCAACTTTCAGTTTTCTACTGCTACCAATGCAGTGTGCTCAATGACCTTGAAATGCGCTACTGGATCGCTATGAAACTGGCAAAAATATTGGTGCCATTTATAAAAAGCGACTGTTGCCATGACAACTAAAGCTTTATAATTAGATAATTTAAATTTGAAATATTCTTACGTTACTTAACCAATTTTTTTATTAATATATGTACAGAAAACTTCTACATAGAGTAAAATATGAGCATCATGAGCGTCCTCTAAATTTATACTTAGAAACGTAAAGTTTGCCAACAGCACCTCTTTCGGCAAGAGCAACAATTTTGGAAGGTACCCCAAACCCTATCTCGGAAAATTTTTCTTTTGGACCACTCTAATGTACGTACGAGTACATTCAACTACACTTACCCTTGAAGCAACATTTCTTGCTGCGCACTGCATAAATACAGAGGCAGATTAAAATCAGTATCGCGGCCAAGCAGCCGCCAGCGATGCCAAGCAAATAGCTCATCTCCAGTGGTTCTGTGTGGATGATTATTTGTTTTTGTTTTTGTTTTGAGTGCGCAGGCACGCATTGACGTTGGCAATGATAGCAGCGATGACGGATGCGGCAGATGATGGGGCAGGCAGAAGTGTGGCAAGCGGATATGTTGATGATGTGGGTATTTTTTTTTGACATTTATTGCACAGCGCAATGGCAATGAGTGTGGACACCAGGCAGTGGGTGTGCGTCAGAGGTAATGTCCGCCGGCCCACCAATTGGAATTGTTGCGGTAAAAGCCCAACATAGTGGTAGTTAAAATGCATATTTTTTTGCATTTCACATGTTGTTGTTGTTGTTGTCGTTTTTTCGTTGGCGTTATGTATTGCGGTTATTGATTGCATACAATTTATTTATATTCGTTTCGTTTTTTTTTTGTTCAGTTGCGAAATCAAAATAATTTTCACGCATCCAATTATGCAGAATGTAGCAGAAAAATGTGTCCGTGGGGAATATAAAAACAGAGAAAGAAAAAATTTTTAGTTTAAAAATATTTCTCGTGAGCTGTAGGATGGTTAATTTTATGAGCTATGTGATTTACGTGGTTAATTTGTAGTTAGTCATGAAAATATTGAATTACAATTAATTTAAGTTTTTAATTTGATTATAATATGCGCACACTTAAACATACATACTCTTAAATATACAAATATAGATGAATACATTTATTACAACCACCGATAAAGCATGCAAAATATTATTCATACGCCCCCATGGGCATAGCCATGGTCATAGTCATAGTTATAGTTAAAGTCATAGTCAAAGTTATAGTCGCAGTCATGGTCATAGTCGTAGTCACACTCATAGTCATAGTAATATCATAGTCAGGGTCATAGGCATTGCCAAGGTTATAGTCAATTAAAAGATCTGTTAATAAGGAGGTTTTAGCGTTATCTGCAATGGAATTCTGTCAATCGCTACGGTAAATTTTGGTCGCCGAAATTCCCTGAACGAAAAGCAGCGCGGTCTAAAAATATGCAACAGGGAAATTAAACAGATGTGTGATTGGCTAAAGTTGGCAGTATGAGAGAAATGTAACTAGATGTTGCGTATTGTTAGGCGCGGCTGATATTCGATTGGAGAATTTTGCCATTTTTGGAATCAAGCTGCACTTTGTCTATACATACAAGCTTTTAATAAGTTTCACCTGTGTGTAACCACATCTTGGAATGAATTTTTAACCAATTTCTCGAAGAGCTAGATACTTGAAACTGCCAATTAAGCTCAGAACCCAATGACAATGCAGTATGAAAGATGAACTAATCTACTGGGTGGCGCAATAGTTTGCAATACCCTTATTATTGGGCCGATTTTTTTCATATTTAGTATTATTTAAATGGAATTGAATAACTCCAAAAAATTTAGCCGTTAGGTGGTGCGGGGGTCGATTTTTCCACTGAAAAAGGTAGTCTCAAAAAATTTTTGATTTTGCGTTATTTGTTTAGCAATAAATTTGCTAAAAATTAAATGAAATTAAAAGTAGTTAAAATATTAAAAGCTAAAATAGGAGAAAGAAAACTACTAAAAACATAGTAAATAGTTAAATCGAGTGATAGAAAAATAATAAAATTAGTTTCTAAAAATAAAATGACATTAAGACAATCTGTTTAATTTTAAAACAAAGAAAACAAAAAATTTAAAGAAAATCAAATTTAAAAAAATATATAAATATATTTAGAAAAAGAATAAAAAATGAATAGTTCGTGGAGGTTAAATGAAATAAAAAATAAAAATATTTTCCTTTTTAAAATAACTATATAAAAAAAATTTGAAGAAAATTAAATTTAAAAAAGAAAAAAGCTAAACTAAAAGAGAAAAAAATAAGTTCATATAAATTTAATCAAAATAAAAAAAATTAGTTTAAAACAATAGGTGCAATCTAAAACCTAAACAAAATTATATTAAAAAAATAAAACACATTCAAAAAGGAAAAAAATATTTCTAAACATTGAATTAATTTTAAAATATTTTTTAAATTCTAAACCAATAAAATCTAAAAATTAAATTAAGCAAAGGAAAAAATTAATAAGTTTCTAAAAATTAATCGAAATTTAAAAATACATATACAACTTTTTCTTTTTAAAACAATAAAATCTAAAAACTGAAACATAGTTGAATTAAAAAAAAGAAATTAAAAAAGATAAAAACCTCCTCTAACCAAGAAATCGATCGTGATATCTCTCGGCACGCGAGTGCTTTGCTACTGTTGGAACATGCTCAAGTGCTTTTTGTCAAAAAAGCTTTTCACCATTAAAGTTGGCAAGGAATCTTTGTTTGTAAGACTTGTCCGACTTTCGCGAGAATAAAAAATCTTTCAAACTCTCTTGCCAATTCTCTTTCTGGTGATCCCAACGGCAGCCAAAACACTATTGAATACACCACCCAATAAAATGTTGCTCATACGCCCTGTGGTCGCATTTGAAGATAATGGTATTCGCACACGAAACTTTATTTTACATTTGCAACGGCACTTTAAGAAGTTTAATTTCCATCATACTTTTGTTGTACTTGTTACATAAATATTCCCGCTTAGGTAAACAAATTGTGCTGCAAATTAAAGAATAGGGCGGGGGCGAGCGAAAATTTTCGACGTGAAATTAAAAATTAAATACAAGAAAATTTGTGTGAATTTCATGCAAATTTTATAACACACATGTGTACTTACATACATACAGAACATAACATTTAGCGAACATAAAAGTAAGCGGTCGCTTGAATGGCGGTTAGATTGCGCCGCGCCAGTCGTGCTGGCTCTTATCGCAAATTAAGACAAGCAAATTACAACTTAATTGTCGTTCATATGCATAAAACATTTACAGCAGCGAGGTGCCTATTGTGTGTATGTGTATGTGCACTATATGTATAAGTATGTTTGTGTGTGTGTGTTTTATGCATCAAAATTGGCAATGTGATAAGCACAACGCTTGAAGGCTTGTACTCTTTTGACGCTCTGACTACTGCACTACTCAGCTAGCTCAGCATGCTGTCGTCGCCGGTATCAAATCGCAAAAATTAATTTATGCAAATTAGATTAAATTAAATTAAATTACTGTTGTAAAATGTCAATTACTAGATGTTGTTGATAAAATGTAAACAAATTAGCGATATGCGTTTGAGTGAGCAAAGTGAGGCTTAAGTGGATGTAGTTCATTCAAAGAGTAGAAGGGTAAAAATAAATTATACAAAATAGGGCTATGAGCGAAAATTTAATTTTTAAAGAGAACTTAAATTTGTGTACCTAACATATCACTTAAGGGAAATTGTCAGAAAATAAGAAATCATTTTCCATTTAAATTACTGATGAAACCGGCTATAAGACCTCGATTTGTTTAAACAAGATAAGGAAAAAACTAAAAATTTTAAAGATTGAATTTTTTAAATAATTTTTTACATAAAAATAAGAAGAAGAAATCACAGTAATTAAACTCGATGTATTAAATTTTAAGTAAAGAATTGTTTGTAAAATTTAAAAATATATATACCAAAAAATAATTGAAAAAATACAAAAGTCAACAAAAAATTTTACAAATTATTATTTTTCACTTAAAAATTTAGAAAAAATGACGGTTAGTAAACTCGATGTATAAAATATTTATTAAAAAAAATATTATTATTAAAAAAATGCTTGTCGCCAAAATTTAACAAATTTATTAGAGAAAAATCTAAAAGTAGTTTAGCATCAATATATCTAGGAAATATCGAAAAACAAGAGTTTAAAAAAAATGGAAATGTTAATTTTTTTACTTAAAAATTGGAAGAATTAAAAACAACAATAATTAAAATGTCGTCAGATGAATGGAAGATATAGTAGAAGCTATAGCTGCTATTTTATAGATTACCACATCTCCTCATAAGACTTCTACATCGAGTTAACTGCAATTTGAACCAACGATTCCGGCTTACTCAGTGAGCCCAGTGCGCAATGCAAACTACGAGCACCATATTAAAATTACTATTGTTTTTCTACAGAATTTTTAATTAAAGCAACCTCAAGCGTAATTAATATGTTGAATATAAATTTATATGAAGAAAAAAAACCAATAAAATTTGTTTTTAGCACACAAATTATTACTAAAAATAGAAATAAAAAATCAATGAATTGATTTTTATGTAGACATACATTTTTTTTTATTAAATACGGCCTTGAGCTCAATAAAACTGTTGAATATAATTGTTAAAAGGCCACAAAAAAAAAAAAAGAATTAAAAAGAAAGATCAAAGAAATGTGGTTCAAATTCTGAATAAAATATGTAAAAAATTTAGCAAAGTTTTAGCAGTGCGTAAAAAAATGTTAAAGGAATTTTATCAAAATAATATATTTTTAAACATGATTTAAGGTAAACTAAAAGGAAAAATCAAATTTTTTTAACTTAAAAGAAAAAAACTAAAAAAAATATTAAAAATTTGTTTTTTATTTAATAAAAATTTATTTATTTTTTATTTTAAAGTTAACTAGAAAGTACAATTGAAAAAGTTTAAAAATTGAAATAAAAAATTTATCTTTTAAATTTGTTTGCGTATAAATTATGAGAATTTTAGGGTTCAATAATTACCGCTTCAACATAAAAATAAAAAAATAAAAGAAGTGGAAGAAAGAAATTTTTACTTCAAAATGTGTTTATTTAGCCATTAATAATTTAAAGTAGCACCCGTAATTATTTTCTTACAGGCTTGTGGCCGTGAAAGGCCATTAAATGAACACAAGAACATGCAACAATAAAACTACATACAACCAAAATATTTCGCATAATGATAAAAATGAAAATTTTCTAATGCGGATATACAAATTAGTTACTATCGACGGCATTCGCTACTCTAGCACTACAATAAAATAAGCCAACATCTACTGGTATTGTAGGGCAAAAAATGAAAAAAAAAATTACTCTGCACCTGCAAACGTACCCTCCACATTCAAATGAATGGCATGACGATCGGTGCCGCGCTCATTCTCCACAACCAAATAATAGGGACGCGAATCGTGTTCATCGGTGTGTAGAATATGCAAAGTGGAGAGGTAGCAATCCTCGCGTGAGTCCTGCAACATGTCGTCGGCGCGAAAGCGGTCTGTGTTTAGAGCGACAAGCAAGCGCCAGTAAAAGTAGGGCGAAAGGCAAACGACGACAGCAATGAAGTGTTATGAAGTTCGACGGTCGGTTGCTCGGTTGGTTGGTTGGTTGGTTGGTTTGAATGTTGCGTGAGTGTGAATTTTCAAATTTTCGTTGTACGCGTGATGCCAAAGTCAAAGTGATTGACGTGCGTGCCAATGTCAGGCGTGTGAAAGCAGCGCAGCGCAGCGCAGCACAGCACAACGCAAAGGAAGCGACAAGTGCAACAAGTGTGACATGTACGAGTACACATTTGTATGTATGCATGTATGTATGTATGTATGTAATGTGGTGTGCCATGCAAGGCGATGATGTTATGCAACAATTGATTGAGTTAACATGAGCACGAGCGTGAGCATTGACGCGTATAGTGTTAATTGGTAGGCAGGCAAGCAGGCATGCGTGTGTGTGTGTAGTTGTTGCCGTTTTTGTTGTTAATTACGATGTTCAGTG